GAAGAAGAACTCCCCTTCTCCAGGCACCTGGGTGGCTCCGTCGGTTAAGCATCCAAATCCAACTCTTGTTTTCGGCTCAGGTCATGACCTCAGGGTCATGAGATCGAGCCCCACATAGAGCTCTGTGCTCAGTACGGAGTCCACATGTCCCTCTCCCTCCGCCCCTCCTCCCACTCATGCTCTCTCTTTCTCTCTCAAATACATAAATAAAATAAAATCTTAAAAAAAAAAAAGAACTCCCCTTCTCTTCCTAGCTTGTTATAAGATTGTGAGCAGGAGGGTTTAGGTTCTGTAGATTGCCTACTGAGCATCTATGGTGATATGGGGGTTCTTTCTTTTGTCTGATCAATATAATGCATCAATTGATTCAATCCCCAGGACAAACACGTTGTCCAGTCATGACTGATTATTCCTTAATGCTGTTAAATTAGGCATTCTAATATTTTATTTAAGATTTTTGCATCTTTGGAGTGCCTAGGCGGCTCAGTTGGTTAAGCATCTGCCTTTGACTCAGGTCATGATCCCAGGCTCCTGGGATCAAGCCCCACATTGGGCTCCCTGCTCAGTGGGGAGCCTGCTTCTCCCTCTCCCTCTGCTCCTCCCCCTGCTTGTGCTCCCTCTTCCTCTCTGTCAAATAAATAAATCAAATCTTTTTAAATTTAAGATTTTTACATCTTTATTAATAACCAATATTAGTCTATAGTTTTAGGTTTTATTTTTTGTTTGCGGGTGTTTGCTGAGTTCTAATATCTAGGTCATGCTAGCTTCCCATTTTAGCCGATGTTCTGGCTCTCATTTGGCCCCTCGCAGTATAAATATACATTATCTCTTTCAACTCCACCATGTATAAAGCAACTACCATGGGCAAGGCTTTACACAAGATGCCATAAGAGAGGGAGCCTGGGTGGCTCAGATGGTTAAGCGTCTGCCTTTAGCTCAGGTCATGATCCCAGGGTCCTGGGATCGAGGCCCACATCGGGCTCCTGGCTTGGCAGGGAGCCTGCCTCTCCCCCTGCTCATGCTCTCTCTCTCTCTCTCTCTCTCTGTGTGTCTCAAATGAATAAATAAAATCTTAAAAAAAAAAAGAAAAGATGCCACAAGAAATAGAAATTTCTAGACCTCTGAGATCCTAAGTCAGCAAGTCTGGGATCAGGTCAGGGAAAGGCTTAATTGCAAAGGTAGTATTTCCAACTGGGATTTGTAGGAAGAGACTTCAGGGGAACCTGCCGGGAAGGGGCAGCACTGGGCTATCTAAAAGAGAGAAAACACGGGATGTCTGGCTGGCTCAGTCAGAAGAGCATGCAATTCTTGATCTCGGGGTTGTGAGTTTAAGCCCCACGTTGGGTGTAGAGATCACCTAAATAAATAAATATTTTTTAAAAAGATAGAGAAAACACCCCAAGTAAACACATGTGTAAGTACAAGGCAGTTCAGAAACACACATACTACATGTTGGGTGGAAAGCCAGCTACAGGGAATAAAGAGGGCACGCTGGCTTCAGATCATAAAAGTCCTTGGTTGCCATGATAAGCCAAGGTCAGAAAGGGAGTAGAGGGCCGCCTGGGTGGCTCAGTTGTTAAGCGTCTGCCTTTGGCTCAGGTCATGATCCCAGGGTCCTGGGATCGAGCCCTGCATCGGGCTCCCTGCTCCCCGGGAAGCCTGCTTCTCCCTCTCCCACTCCCCCTGCTTGTGTTCCCTCTCTCGCCGTGTCTCTCTCTGTCAAATAAATAAATAAAATCTTTAAAAAAAAAAAAAGAAAGAAAGGGAGTAGAAAGGTGTAGGAGTCATAAGGTGATGTGAATGTGTTGCGGGAAGATGAGGTGGCACCAATAAAGAGGTTGCAAGGGGTGGGGACTGGTCACAGAGTGGAGGCTGGGGCTAGGCAGGAGGCCTCCACTGCAAGCGGGGCAAACTGGGAAGGCCTCAAAGGAATGGTGGCAATGCACAGGAAACCCATGGGAGAGATACCTTCTCCACCTGGCTAAGATTTACTGACTTGGACAAATTACCATTTGAGGACCTTCAAGAAGGGTGAAAACGTATGGAGTGTTGTATGTAGTAGGGGTGTATGTACATGTCTACTTCGTTGGCTTTCTTGGCCTAGCTTCCAACGTTGATCTCATCTCCCACATCCAACAGGATTCGCCTGAATTTCCTCTAGAATCAACAGTACCAGCACTTTGTCAACCACAAAACTTCAATCCTCACTACACCGCAGGCTCCGCCAGGGCAAGGACCCTGGGATCATGACCCGAGCCGAAGGCAGATGCTTAACAACTGAGCCACCCAGGCGCCCCTCTACTCCCTTTCTGACCTTGGCTTATCATGGCAACCAAGGACTTTTATGATCTGAAGCCAGTGTGCCCTCTTTATTCCCTGTAGCTGGCTTTCCACCCAAAATGTAGTATGTGTGTTTCTGAAAGACCTCCAGTCTTTCACTGATGTACCCCCAAGTCTAGCTCAGAGCCTGGCACATGAGACAGGTTCAAGTGCTATTTGCTGTATGAATGATTCTTGACTATCCAGTCAGTGAATCATTCCATAAAGCTGCTCTGCCAGCCAGATCTTTCTACTCTAACTCCTGCTCCAACCCAGCTCCTTAGATCGCAGACTGAGGCTGCCTTAAGACTCAACCGAGTGCTGTGCCCGGAGTCTTCTCTCCCCTCTCAGCTCTCTTGATCCCATGCCAGCTGAATCTTCCTAAAGCACTCATTCTATTGCAAAGTCTTCGGCAATGAGTACGGTATTTGCATAATATGTCACAGTTGACAGGTATTATCTTATTGGTTCCCTAGGGCCTTCAGGATTAATTTTGACACTGATACTCAAGGACCCCCCACAAATCCGTACCAATCTCCCTTATTTCCCTCCACTTCTCTACAGGAGCCGCATGCTTCAGCCAAGCCACTCGGTATTTTATGAGCAAATCTTGGACATTCCGATCTAGCCGATGCCTCCCCTCCTCTCTATGAAGTCTCCCAGGCTTTGACAACCTTCTCTTCTTACTCTAACCCACAGTATTTTTTCCAGATTCTGGATTCTTAAGTATCTAAGGTCTACCTGCGCTGGGCAATACTGTGGCCACTAGATCAGGTGGTCATGGACATTTAAATCAATTAAAATTAAATAACATTTAACGTTCAGTTTCTTGGCCACACTAGCAACATTTCAAGCGTTCCACAGCCCCACGTGGCTAGTGGCTATCATACTGGATGGCACAAATACAGAGCATTCTATCACAGCAGGAAGTCCTAGTTGACAACCCTGCTAGCATTAATGTGGGCACAACGCACGTACTGCCTGTATATTTGGTTATATGTTTCACCAGTGTATGTCTCAAATCCCCAACTAAACTGCAAGCAGGGTTGTCATAGCAGTTCATTTGTAATACACTCTATTTGGAACTGCACTTAAGGAGACAAGCTCTAAATGTAGAGTGACTTTTTTCTTTTTAATAATCTCTTTCCACTAGCATCCAGTTATTTCTACTGCAGAAAAATCTTTCAAGTGGTTGAAATACCTATTCCTAAGGCATTTCCCTTTGAGCTCAAGGTACAAAAGCCTTCAAATACATTAGCTTTGAAGTACTCATTTAGTCATTTATTGTTAAAATTATAGACTACCCTTGTGATTCACTAATGGAGGCTCATTCCAAGCATGGCGCGCCGTCTCCTTCCAAAAAGTAGGCCGGCATAAGGCGGAGGTTTGGGTGGAGAACATGCCCTAGCCATTAGACAGCAGCCATCATGCCTGAAGAATTGTTCTTTCTCCAGATAGAAAGCAGTTTCTATGGCCAACAGCCTAATATCAACTCTGAACCTACTGCCCCCACGGAGACAGGACTAAATGACTATTAGGCTCCCAAACTGGTCCATAAAAGGCTATTTTAGCCATAGCTGTCTTCTTGGCAGCTGCTTTGATGGGAAGAAAAGTTCTTTAGCCCAAACGAAGCTCCAAAGGACTTCTATAAGACCGTTTTGTTAGCTGGGAGATGCTCACTCAATGTCCTAAATGCAAAGCAGTCTTCAAAGTAATAAAAAGTCACCTGAAAGGTTACGCTGAATGGCTGTCCGGGTTTGTTTTAATGCCTCTTAATTTGCCTTCCATATAAAGTTGTTGAAAAATAACATGGGAGAAAAAATATTTCAAACAGCTTCATCTAGAGGTAGGAAAATGTCATGCATTAATTATGCTTAATGTATAACAGAAATTACCCTTCACCTGAATCGACTTTTAATTAGATGTAACTATGCCACAAATCCACTGTGTCAAATGTGAAATTAATTTTGACTTTGAAAATCCCTGGATCAAAAAGGGATAAAAGAAGTCATATCTATGATAACTAAAATTGAAATAGTATCAAATACCACAATCTCAAATGTCCATTTGCATTTGCTTAAAATGCTTCAAATTCCTCACTTTTCCTTACCAATACGTTTACCCAAGTATACATGTGTGTACTGATGTGTATGAAGGTGGAAGACAGATTTTGTTTTCCAAGTGTTGTGTCTTATGGAAATCCAGGGTTTTTTTAGTTACTATTCTCAATAAACAGAAAAGAAATGCTAAAAATTAAGCATATCCACATATCTAAATATTGGATTGAGATCATTCTTCCTATATATGTCTCAAAACCCAAAAATATTCTAAATAGTACACAATGCCATGAACTATCCTCCACATGAACTGGAAAGATCTGAAAATCAAGGTCAAGGGTGTCAGCAGCAGCCACGTGATTGATAAAGAGTCAGAATGCAAGTCACCCACAGCTGTGCTCCTGGTAAGCCTTGTCCAGAAAGCAGGTAAGCCTACTTTAACACAAGCCAAAAAATCAGACTCGCTATAGAACCCTAAATATTCAGCAAATTCCCAGAGCCTTCTATTTCGCCTTGTGGATTAAGCAGAGAAATGACACAATAAAATAAATTCTATTCACTCTCTCCTGGTAGTCCCAGAGTCTACTACCTTCACTCTTAGAGAAAAATCTATTTCTCGGCCGCTCCGGCCGGTGGTTTGCCCCAGCGCCGCAGTGCGATCGGCCAACTGCCTCTACGAGCGCCCAGCCGAACGCCTCGGGAAGCCGGCGGGCGGCGGCCCTCGCCGGGGACCCTTCAGCGGGCCCAGGGGGACAAAGTGGCTCTAAATGTAGCACAGGCACATTGAAGCAAGTTAAAGGATTTAATATGAAGCACAGAAGCAGATAGATAGTGCCAAATAGCAAGCTGTAGTTGGTACACATTTAGTGAGTGGAGCAGCATTTCCTTCTCCCACTGCTGCTGAGATGGCGGAGATTAGTCGAATTCAGTATGAAATGGAATACACCGAAGGTATTAGTCAGCAAATGAGGGTCCCGGAGAAATTAAAGGTAGCACCACCAAATGCTGACCTGGAACAAGGATTCCAAGAAGGAGTTCCAAACGCTAGTGTCATTATGCAGGTTCCAGAGAGGATTGTTGTAGCGGGAGATAGTGAAGACATTCCATTTTCAAGACCAGCAGATCTTGACCTTATTCAGTCAACTCCCTTTAAACCTCTGGCACTAAAAACACCACCTTGTGTACTTACATTAAGTGAAAGACCACTAGATTTTCTGGATTTAGAAAGACCTCCTCCAACCCCTCAAAATGAAGAAATCCGTGCAGTTGGCAGGCTAAAAAGAGCGCGCTCTATGAGTGAAAATGCTGTTCGCCAAAACGGACAGCTGGTCAGAGCTGACTCCATGCATGGCATGTCACATATAGATACAACAATTGAAGGAACTTCAGACGACATGACTGTTGTAGATGCAGCTTCGTTAAGACGGCAGATAATCAAACTAAATAGACGTCTACAGCTTCTAGAAGAGGAGAACAAAGAGCGTGCTAAAAGAGAAATGGTCATGTATTCGATTACTGCAGCGTTCTGGCTGCTTAACAGCTGGCTCTGGTTTCGCCGCTAGAGGTAACCTCAGCTCTCAAAAATATTGTCTCAACAGCTGCAAGTATAAAGAATTTGCAAATTTGTTTCTGTCTTTGCATTGTATGCCGTTTTATAGGCCATGCCCTGAACGTGTATTTCTTCCAGAAAGGAGGGCGGAAGGACTGATATTTGCAGAAGTCAAGGTATATTTCTCTCACTCAGCTGTAGTCACTTTTAAGCAGATCTGCAGTAACAAACACCTTAAAATTCTCCCTTTGCATGTTTTGTAAATAGGCTCTAGTTTGTTTTTTGAAAGAAATTTTTGCCTCATCAGCTCACACAATTAATTCTTTGAATGGGAGAGAGAGTGCATAGGAAATGGATTTAGAAAAGTATCTGTAGAAGAAAAATGGTACTTTATTTTGTCCTGTTTCTCAAACACCATTAGATTGAACAGTTTTGTTAATAGACACTTTTGCATCGACGTTTCAACATTAACACTTCTGAAGTCATGGTCTGGTGTCAGATTTGATAAAGTCAAGGCACTTCATGTTTTCCAGTCACCTTCATTACAGTAATTCCTAACATTTCCAGCAGTTTATCTAATATGTGTGTAAAATGTGTGTTCTTATTTTTATTTTAGTTTTGCAGATGGTTTTCTATAAAGTATGTTTTTACTAAGTCCCTGTGTGAATGATTTAAAAAACTACAGAATAAGGTACAAATGTAGTATATTTAATAAACTGTCAACTAAAGAAAAAAAATCTATTTCTCCTTTTGTGTGTATAAGAGATACCTCCTCTTAGAGCTCTCTCCCAGATGCCCTTGTGTCTACTGATGGAAGAGACATTTACATGGTAAAAGGCAAATCTCCATCTGTAAGGGTTATCTCCCACTCTGTACCAGGAAGAGGATGACTAAATCTCTAGAAACTCACATGAATGTAGAAAGCAAGGATTTCAATCTGCATCACAATCATACCCTTGTTTCCTGTGTTTTTCCAGGTAACCCCCCCAAAACTTGCTCCCCACTCCCAACATCATCTTTTGTCTTTAGCTGGAGAGGTTATTTAACATGATGGTTTGGGCCATTTGGTTTTCCTGGGCTTCTCCCATGTACGCAGGAGGTAAACAGGTTATTAAGCTTTCTTTGTTTTTGTCCTGTTAATCTTTTATGACGGAGGGGTCTCAGCCAAGAACCTAGAAGGGGGGGAGTAAAAATTATTTTTCCTCCTCCACACCTATGAAACAGATTTTAGCAGCAAATATACCCAAAGGAGGCTCCTGGTTTCCAAATCATTTACTTTTTTAGCTGGAAAGGCCAGAATGACCATTACCCACTGTAAGTCATTGTTACTTGCTCAAGTTTAACTGATTTCCCCAGCCTACCTGGTATCGGCTGCCTGATGAGTCTCTTCGCTTAGCCCTTCTCCATAAGAGGACTTCTCACCATCAGCACAAATGCTGCCTCTTAAGTCTATTTTTCTCCAACAAACTGATCACAGGCCATAAAGATGTTCAGTAGCAATTAGGTTTTATTGTTCCCATCTCACTTATGAGTATAGAAGCTATCAAAATGCAAAATGCACAGATCCTCAGACTTAGTAATTCCCCTTCTAGGAACGCATGCCGTAGAAATGCGCATGCATGGGCCGCAAGGACATATGCACAGGGATACTAATTTGCAACATGATTTAAAGTTGCAAAATAATGGACACATATTCATCAGTGTGAGACTGGTTAAATAAATGATGCATACAGCAGGGAAGCATGTGGAAGTTCCCTGTGCACTGACAGGGAGTGATGCGCACAAAAAGCAAGGGGGCAAAAAAAAAAAAAAAAGCCAGGGGGCACAGTGTCTCAAGCATGTTAGCCAATGTATTTGTTAAAAAGGAAACAGATATCCATATATGTGTGCCCGCGCGCACGCGGGCAAACACACACACACACACACACACACACACACACACACACACACACAGTGCAAAGAATAGGCCGCAAAGAATTAACCTTGCCAAAGCTATCTAACAGTGGCACCTACTGGTCAAACCACTTCCTAGCACACACTACCCCCGCCCCCCCAAATCACTTCCTATCCCAAAGTATTATCTTAGGAAAGAAAACCCATGATTTGCCTGCACAGCCATTTCAGCCATTAGTCAAGAAATATGTTTATAATAAAGCTTCATAAGGAACTCTTCACTAGTATTAGGTCTTCTGAGCATAGAACTTAAAAGTACCATCTGGCTGGGAAGTTATGGTTCATTATGGTCTGAATTGCAAGCTATAAAAAGAGTGAGGAATATCTCTATATCCTTCCACGGAGTGATCTCCAGCGTATAATGTTAAGTTAAAAAAGCAAGAAAGAAAAAAGCGTGCAGAGCATGCTACCATTTATCTAAGAAGGAGAGCGGGTTACAAGTAGATATATAGGTTTGCTTATATTTTTAAATGGAAAGATAACCTGTTAAAAAAAGAAAGAAAGACAACCTATTAAAAAATAGAATTAATGACTACCATAAAGGAAGGGAAGGAACAGGATGGAGGAGAGAAGAACGGAAGTGGGTTTCTTAAAATCAGCGGTTCTCCGGTTTTGCCCGCGCCCCCACGGGATGTTTGGCTGGAATTTTTAGTGTCACAACGGGGGGTTGGGAGGAGTGTACTACTGACACCTAGTGGGTAGAGGCCAAGGATGCTCCTGAATATTCTACAGTGCACAGGACAGCACCCCACCACAAAAAATAATCCGGCCCCAGATGCCCATAGTGCAAACTGTATATCTAATGGGGGACTTGTATTTAGAATACATAAAGAACTCTTACAACCTAATAATACAAAGACAAATAACCCAGCTCAAAAACAGGCAAAGGACCTGAATAGACATTTCCCCAAAGATGATATACAAGTGGCCAATAAGCTCAATATCCTCAGCCATCAGGGAAATGCAAATCAAAGCCACAGAGAGACACAACTTCACACCCACTGGGATGGCTATAAGCAAAAAGTCAAATAATAATGGGGCCTTTGGCTGGCTCAGTCAGTACAGCACACAACTCTGGATCACAGGGTTGTAAGTTCGAGCTCCATGTTGGGTGTAAAGATTACTTAAAAATAAAATCTTAAAAAAAAGAGAGAGAGAGAGAGAGACAAAACAAGTGTTGAGGATGTGAAGAAACTGGGATCCTCATATACTGCTGGTGGGAATATAAGTTGTTGCAGCCGCTGTAGAAAACAGTGGGACGGTTCCTCGGAAGCTTAAACATACAGTCACCGTACGACTTACAATTCCACTCCTAGGTGTATATACCCAAATGAAATAAAGATATGTCCACAGCACAACTTGTATACCAGTGATCATAGCAGCATTATTCATAAGTGTCAAAAAGTAGAAATAACTGAAATGTCCATCAATGGATGAAGGAATTAATAAAATGTGTTGTGTTCCATCTAATGTAATATGATTCAGCAATGAAAAGAAACAAAGTACTTATAGATGCTATAACATAGACAACCTTGACACCATTATACTAAGTGAAAGAAGTCAGTCACAAAAAGCCACGTATTGTATGATTTCATTTACATGAAATGCCCAGAATAGGCAAATCCATAGAGACCCAGAACAGATTAATGGTTACCTAGAGCTGGGGGTGAGAGTAGGTTGGGGGTGTCAGCTAAGGGGTGTGAGGTTTCTTCTGACATAATGAGAATGGTCCGAAATGGATTGTGATGATGGTGGCAGGGATCTGTGAATATGCTAAAAGCCATTGAATTATGGACTTCCAAATGGCTAAATTTTATGGTACGTAAATTATATCTCAATAAAACTGTTTAAAGAAAAGTGATCACGGGGCGGCGGGGGGGGGTACCTGGGTGACTCAGTCAGTTGAACGTCTGCCCTGAGCTCAGGTCATGATCCCAAGGTCCTGGATCAAGCCCCGCATTGGGCTCCCTGCTCAGCGGGGAGTCTGCTTCTCCCTCTCCCTCTGCCCCAGCTCATGCTCTTTCTCTCTCAAATAAATAAAATCTTTAAAAAAAAAAAAAAAAGTGATCACACGGCACCTAGCTGGTTCAGTAAGAAGAACATGCGACTGTTGATCTCGGGGTTGTGAGTTCGAGCCCCACACTGGGTGTTGACATTACCAAAAAAATGATAATAAATAAACTTAAAAAAAAAAAACGATCACAAGGGTGAGGTATGCACTCTGACAGAGGTGGGCACGAGGCACAGAAGGCAGAGGCAAGGAAAGACTGGAGATCAGGACAGCCTTCCCAGGATGAATAGGAAGTTGTCAGTCATCGGTTTGGTTTACTTTTTTAATTAAATTCTTCACTGGTTTCATTGACATTCCAGGGGAAGGGAGATTGCAGGAAGGGGGACATGTCAGGTATAGGGAATCTCAGGATACATCTAAAAATACCGTTCAGAGTGTGCAAATATAAACCCTAAGCATGGGAGGGACAGGGACACCTCAACTTGAATTACAGTAGCCCCCCCTTACCCATGGTTTCATACTGTCGGAGGGTCAGGATAGCCTGACGCCACTACATCACGGTGCCTGTGGCACTCCCCCACTTCACCTCACCACACAGCCCTCATCATCACGAGAAGGGTGAGTGCAGCCCAGTAAGACATTCTGAGAGATAGTGAGAGACCACACTCACATAACTTTTATTATAGAGTATAATTATAATTGCCCTATTTTATTATTACTTATTGTTGTTCATCTCTTGTTGTGCCACATTTATGAATTAAACTCTATCATAGGTATGGACGGGTAGGAAAAAATAGAGTATATATATGGTTGGGTACCACCCACACTTTCTGGCATCCACTGGGGGTCTTGGCACGTCTTCCCCACAGGTAAGGGGGCCTACTGTAGCAAAGCCACAGGTGACCGAGCACAGTGGCCTTCAGTCCCAGCCAAGAACCTTGGACTGAATATTTTCTAGGAAAAAGAATCAGTGAAAGATGAGGAGCAGCACAAGAAAGGTCGTCACCTTTGTTTTAGAAAGGCAGATGACCGTCAATGTGAAAACTAGACAGGCAGGAGACGAGTCTGGAGACAGGACAGCCCATTTATTTACGTGAGCGGTTGGTTATAAAGTATTGTCACAGTGCAGTTAATCCTTTCCTAAACATGAGGCTTGAGAACTGCTGCAAAAAGAAATCAGTCCGGGACTGTGTTTCTTCAAGGCACAGCTGACAAGAGGGACTATTGAGAGCAGAGCTGTTTCATATAAAAATAATAGTAGCAGTAGTAATAATAGTAATAAAATCATATCCAATTTAAAATGTCCTGATGTGGTAAGGAAAACACAACAATAATTTCCCCTTATGCGTTTAGGCCAGAGTTAGAAACAAAATGACAATGACCCGGGGCATCTGGGTGGCTCAGTCGTTAAGCGTCTGCCTTTGGCTCAGGTCATGATCCCAGGGTCCTGGGATCGAGCCCCGCATCGGGCTCCCTGCTCAGCACGGAGTCTGCTTCTCCCTCTCCCACTCCCCCTGCTTGTGTTCCCTCTCTTGCTGCGTCTCTCTCTGCCAAATAAATAAATAAATAAAATCTTAAAAAAAAAAAATGACAATGACCCAACCCAGAAAGATAAGCCACTTACCACAGGAACACGGGCATTTGGCTCAAATTCTGTGGAACCGGCACCTGAGGATGAGGAAATGAGGTCAATAATTCACCAGTATTGCTGAAAAATAGTTTAAGTAATAAGAATTTTTTAAATAAAAGGGTATTAGCAAATAGCAGGCCTACCTTTCAAGTTAAGGCAGTTTCTTGCAAACTCTATCACAGCTAGTTGCATCCCAAGGCAAACTCCTGTTTGAAAAAGCATATGTATAAAGCAAATGAACATATTTTGTATGACTTCGTATTTCCTGTTTACTTGTTTACTGCCCATCTCCTTCCTCTAGAACGCAGGCTTGGAGAGAGCGAGACTG